CACCAAAAAGACACTTATGGGACCGTGGCGGGCACACGATTCACGAAGGGCAAGGGAAATGCGAGCTGCGAGCCGGCCAGGCACGTCGCGTGCACAAACCACTTCCGGATCATAGTGTCGCCACCCTGCTTTGGGCATCTAGCGCGTCTCGAGCGTTGATGCTTTCTATCAAGATCTCTTCCGGAAATTCCGATTGCTGCCATGCCCTGCAGAATCAGAAGAACAAAGGCGGGCCAGGGTGCAGGGCAGGGTGCAGGGTGCGACACCTGCGACCTGCAGTCTGAACTGATCAAGCCTGATTCAAGCGCCTCCTCGAAGGGGGCTTCATGTCTGGACACTCCAAACGGCAGGCCAACGCATGACAGCAGTAGCTGGCCTGACGCGGTCCATGGAGAGAGACACGACCTCGGCGATAATTAAGCGCTCAAGATTTAGCGCGTCGCCCGCAAGATGCGGGCAACTGTAGGACCATGCGCAGCACGCAATGCTGCAGCACTGCGACATGCTGTGAAGTGTCTCTACAGTGCATTTCGGGGGCCTGGCATTGTCAATATCCACAAAAAGGTGTCTGCGTTCACGGCGATACCTGGTGATTGGTCATGGGCATACACTAGTCTCATCTAGTCTCTACACTTCAGAGGAATTTCATGAGCAGAGGACACAACAGTCCAGTCACTCCCGCCACTTCAGATGCAGCTTGGTGCAAGCATCGACGAGTGTTAGGCCGCGGCCGGTCGATCACTGCTAACACCATAAACTCTGTCCTGAGCGAGGTCATGCTGTGAAGCATGTCACCGGTCGAAAAATCAGCACTTACCGACTCGCCTTTTGTGGAGAATGAAAGCGCCCGGAAACATGGCAACCACGAGCTCAAGATAAGTGCTGCACCATTGTCGTCGTACCTCGAGATACCTGCCGTGAAGCGTGCACTCTGTGAGGCCGCCGTCGAACTGCTGAGACTCAGGAATCAGCTGCTTTCACACGCTTCATATTCCACCTTCTCGCTCCAAATCCAGGTGGTAGTAGCTCCCAAGCTATTGTTCCAGAAGCACAAACAGGTCGGAGCGTGCGCTTTCCGGTAGCCTGCGAGTGGAGTTTTCTGGCACGTGTTCCCGGGCCAAGGGTTATGCTCGGAGCTTGCTCTCAAGAACGACATGTAACTCGTTCAAAGGACGGTTTGTTCACCATCCCCGCAAAGCAGCAACGACAAGTTCGACAACTCCAGGCCCTGACTGCGATACAGGACGGTGGCTTGGCAGGCCCCAGCCGAAGCGGTCAGCGGTTCCCTCTCTCGCTTCCAGGAATCCCCTTCCCCAGTCACCCCGCTTAACGTTTAAGGGGCCGCAAACCTCTCAGCAAAGATTCCTCCTCCACAGCCCCCGACACGCGCCCAGCTGCTACGCTTGTCGTCCTATTGGGCCCTGCATCTGCGACCGGGCCGAATTGCTGTTACTCTTAGTTTTACTATTACTATCATTGCTGACTAGTAAGACTAGCATTGTTACTACTACTTGTTTACGGTTATTCCCATTGTTGGGATTATTAGTACTACTATGACTAAGAATTCAATCTATTCTTACCATCATTAGTATCACAAACACACAGAACCTGCCTGAGGTGTGCTTGAACTCCGAGTAGGTCTTGTGCCATGACAAAGGCGCCGGTCTCAGCTTGGCCGAGTCTCTGCCGTAGTTGCTGCTGCAGTTGTAGTAGTTGTTGTAGCAGTTGTAGCAGTACCAGTAGCAGCAGTAGTAGTTGTTGTTGTTGTTGTGGCGGTGGCGGTGGCGGTGGCGGTGGCGGTGGTGGTGGCGGTGGCGGTGGCGGTGGCGGTGGCGGTGGCGGTGGCGGTGGCGGTGGCGGTGGCGGTGGCGGTGACGGTGGCGGTGGCGGTGGCGGTGGCGGTGGCGGTTGCGGTTGCGGTGGCGGCGGTGGTGGTGGTGGTGGTGGTGGTGGTGGTGGTAGTAGTTGTAGTGTAGCAATATCAATGAAAATGAAAAACACTGGCAATAAAAAGAATAATAATGAGAATAGTGGCATTTCTGCACCCGTCTCGTCTCTGCCCCACTCAGCCGAGCACGGGTTTATGTCGCTCGTAGGGGAGACCTCGTCTTAGCACTTGTGGAAACGGACAGGTGGACAGAGGCATGCGGCCTCAAGAGTATACGGCATGGTCTTCACGTCCGCATCCTCCTCCTCCCATATGAAATCAACACCTGCGCATGTCTCTGCATTCTGACTTTTCGTTGCTCTTACAGATGCCTCAAGTGGCAGATGCAAGTGCGTGGTTGCGTTGAAAAAGCCGCATCGACATGTCCACCATGCTATCGAATTACTAACGACAGCATCACCTGCCGGTGAGACTGGTCGAGTCTGTCATAGAAGTCATTAAAGTAGCATGGATCACACACTCCTTGAGCAAAACGAGGCAAAGTCTGCATGCGTGCTCACGAGCGCCAAAAAATTAAAAAAAACAAGACAAATAGGGACAAAATCTGCACCGGCCCTGGTGATACGAACAAACGTTGAATATCTTGAGCCCAGACGGACAAAAACAGCACAACAAGTCTGCCACCAAAGCAGCTGTTCGCCTCCCACAGGGATGCCTGTCCTGGGATTGCGGAAACACCGTAGCTCGCACCAAGAATGAAATCAAACAGCGTACATAAACATAGTGGTGTGGAGAGCATGCTCCCGCAAACACGCGGCAGACATTTAGTTGGAGGGTCGTGGCAACTCTGCGCAACTGGCACTTCCGACGTGTCTCACTCTGAGATCTTGATCGGTCGGCGTGATGTGATGCGTGAATGCCTGCGGTCGAGCTGCCTGTTTGCAAACTCCGCCACGTAGGGTGCAATCGCATCCCTTGGCGCAGCTTGATACAGAACTAGAGAATGTGGAACTTTTAGGGTCAAGGTCCCTGCAAAGGGAAGTTAAAATCCTGGAAACCGCCGAGGTTGCTGGCCTGGCTTCGGATAAAAGACACGATGTCGGGATGTAGACGGGGTAAGCAAGCCGGAGAGGCCGCGGAAGCGGAGTTGAGGCTCTGCCTGTTTCGCTTCGCTCTTAAACTTGCTATTAGAGCAGCCGCCAGAGTTGCATCTGCCTGATTTCACAGTGTCACCGCATGCATGGAACAGAAGCGTTCACACACTTGAGAGCTGGTCACGAAAGCTAGAAGCACGAGGTCCGGTGCTGAGCTCTGCAAAGCGATGTGCACGACAGTAGCGGAGGGAAAGTTTGGGCCGGTGAAGGGTGCAGGCGTTGCTCGTTCATTTAACTCTTGAGAAAGTAATGTGCGAACGACAACTAGAGGTTACTCTGGAGAGAAGACCTCGCCGAACGTCAGACACAAACAAAACCAAGGGACCTTGAGGAGGGGGGGGGAGGGGGGGGACCTCATGATAGGGGGGGGGGCCCCCCCCCCCCTCCACCTTATCCCAGGCACGGGGGGGGGGGGGGGGAAAACGCACAATGACAAGGTGAAGGGGGGGGGGGCCCCTCCCCCCCCCCTACCCCCCACCTTAACTCTTGGACGTCCCACCTGATAAGGTGCAAACCCTGTTTTTTCCCTAGTGCCTTAATACAAGTGAATTGCTAAAGGGCAACTCCGCGAGCTCCACAGAGCTAGCTTTCGTGACATAGCCAGCACTCGTTTCAGACATCTGGCGCTGACGTGGGGCACCCTCACCTGATCCGCCAATAGCCGTGGAAAGGGCGCCCGTCCACGTAGGTGACCCGCGCCTCTTTCAGCGCAATCACCTGGCAGTAGAGGCCGGAAGAGAAGCGAGTTTGCGTCGTCTGGTGGCGCACTACCAGGCTCTGCTTGCCACTTGTCAGAGACACCAGCAAGAGAACTCCCATGATCGACATTTGTGCGTTCGTTCTGACCAGCTTGCTGAGAATACGACTGTCCAGCCCCTACCATGTCTACGTTTCTCCCACTTGTCCGGTCAGACCCACCACATCTTCCGCATTTTGCAGGCGTTGGTATCATTGCTTACTAAGCGGCAACAGCACACATGTCACTCAGATACTGCACCAAGTTGCCTCACTAAAACAATTCTACACAAACTTTCGCACATTCAAACGACAAGCCACAGCAATCACCGCAGATAACCAACAAATAAAGCTCGAACATGGGCACAATGCAATGAAAACGTCAGGTTCCCCCCAAACTTTCCAGCCAAGATGTGAGACAAGGCCTTGCTCTGCACGATGGCTTCCACATCCGGCAGGGCCTTGGAGAAGTAGAGCTGCATCTTCTGGCACAGCGAAGTGCTGCTGTCAGAGTGACCGTATCTTCACCACGGGCTAGCGACCCTTTTACTTTTCTTTCATGCTGCGCATATACGGATCTGCATACGTATGTACATATCTGTTTTTGCTTACACATTATACACAAGTGTCAGAAGAAGATTTGAGAGCGCGTTCTCCGTGTGACTAAGTTGGTTCCATCTGCCTTTTACCTGGAGCTGAGGGTGAGTTCTCCCATGTCGCGCAAAGGCACCCGAGCCTGCGTGGTTTGGTTGCTTTCATCTACTTTGTCCTTTGGCGATGAGATTGCGCTGTCGCAATTGCAACAATGCACCTCAGCGTGGGTGGAGGTGTTTGAAAGGCTTCGGCTGGCAAGTGTTTTGAGAGTTTCGGCGTCTGCGCGCGATGCTGTAGTACTACTAGGACATTTAAACAGTGTCCGGTGCTGCTAGCAGCTCGTGGTCATGAGCTCATGACCCCCATACATTTCCCAGTCTGGAAAACGTTCACTCCGCCTTGAACATACAATCAACCGCCACAATCCCTGTGCGATTTTCCGGGTATGGAAAACACACGTTCCTCCGTGAACATATAGTGAATCCAAAACCTTTGAACATCCCTCAGGATCGCAGAGCCCGCTCCCCCCTGAACATGCATCTTCGGGAACTCGCGTGGACAAGGGCTGCATGGACGGTTGCGCAGTCGCTTCTACACATGTACCGTGTGGACTGACGCACCGCGAGGAGATCACACCTAGATGTATAGGTACACAGGCATACACCCACATACCATTTGTGTGTCTGAACATGGTGAGTAGCCTTTTCGTTTGCCGGCAAAGACCATCCAGATTTGCTGTGATAGGAAGGGGTGACGCTTTCTTGAAAGGCCGCCCAAATATACCCTCGCTGTTGTTGCTGTATTTCCTGGCCTAAAAGAAATTTTGCTGCCAACGGGAATGAAACCGTTGCATGCTTGCGGCATTCTGTGGTCGTCTTGTCCTCTTTGTCTGTGTGTGTGGCGGACAGACAGACAGATAGACAGACAGATAGACAGACAGATAGACAGACAGATAGACAGACAGATAGACAGACAGACAGACAGATAGTACATACAGACCGACCGACAAACAGACAGGCATGCATACATCCAGGCCTGCATACAGACATACGGACATGCGGACACACATACATATATGCACTTGTAGATGGAAACCTAGACTGATAGACAGATAGACAGATACACAGAGTCTAAATAGAAAGTCGGAGAGACCGATAAATGGATCGCTAGCCGAGGCTGGAGGCTGTGTAAAATGGTATTGCCTCTGACCGCCGATCGCGTTTTTGCCTGATGCCCCCCCCCCCCCCCCGCCCCTGGTCCCGGCCCCGGGCCGGACAGGCACTCTGTACCCCGGAATGGCGGTTAAATTAAAGTAGGCCTCCACGAATTCATCAGTGTTGGCTGCTTGGAGCAAGCCGAGACCTCGGTCGGCTGCCAGTATTCGAAAGCCATCTCGCATGAGCACCCAAGTTGACGTTGAGAAAGGCACACTCAGAACAGCAGACTAAGTGAGTGCACGATCGTACATGCGCAAAACCGTTCACACGCACACACACGCGCACACACACACATGTCATGTTAATTTCTATTCGCATTACTACTGTTCTCAGTATCCTCATGGTACTGTTATCGTTAGAGCAAACATCCAACAGTTCAACAGATGATTCGTGAACGGAGGGTAAACTCGGGCAAAAGCATCATGAACCCCATCAAAATGTAGCCAACTACAACCAACCTCATGTGCAAATGCAGGCCCCGAGCATCGACCGGCCTGTATTATTACAAACCTTACTATTCTTGCTACGCTTGTTCTTATTATCGCTTTTGTTACTGCTTCTTATCCTGAATACTATTCTTATTACCACGACTTTTGCTAATACTATTCTTTCTACTACTACTACTACTACTACTACTACTACTACTACTACTACTACTACTACTACTACTACTCGTATTGTTCTTCTTGTCATCACTATTAGTATTATTAGTACAAAGCGGGACACTCTCTCTCCAATAGTAGTCGTATTAGTATCGTCATCATGGTTACCAGAAAATACTTTGATCCTTGATGTATGCATGTATGTATGCATGTATGTATGCATGTATGTATCCATGTATGTATGCATGCATGTATGTATGCATGTATAATAGGTTTTGCACGCAATGCAAAGAAGAAAGTTGAGGTCACTATTGACACGAGTATGCACACATAAGTCACATAAGTATAACGGCACTATAAAGCTCTGTTCGCTTGCTTATGCTGCAGCTACCTATGCTTGCACTCGTAATTAATCCGTGCAAAGCTGAAAGCGGCCCAGGCGCTGGAGAAACCGTACGGGTCCTCATCAAGCAACGTCAGGTGACAGTAAGTAGGGTTTTAGAGTTGGCGGTCCTTGATGACTACCGGAAATCGGATGTTGTCTTTCTCCTGCAGCCGGCCCAGGAGGGGCGGATTTGGACAGCACCAAGCACGCCCGGGACCAGCGGTTTGAACATGGGGCTCGCCAACTTGAAGTACCAGAACGCGCTGCCTAAACGCTGAGATCGTAGCAAGCATAGCTGGGCCTGGTGATCACGAACAATTACGAGTATGACTTCTGATGACAATAGACTCAATAGAAGGTCTCCTGACACTACTAGCTGCTAGCCAACTAAGCAGAACGCCGAAGGCTTTACCAACGGCGAGTTCAAGGTCGACCCAACTATGACGAGAGCGAGACTACATGATTAGACGGATAATAGTATTAGCAAGGCTCGTCTCCATGGCCTGTTTAACAGCATATCTACGGACGAAAAGGTAGCCTGAGTCTCCGCACCAGCTTAGCCTCCTCCGCGCTCGTGATGACCCAGGTGGGGGGAATCTTCACCTGCACCGGGTTCGTGTTCAGGGTGTGGGCTGTTGAAGCTGGTTGCCCTGCAGATCAGGTAGAGAATGTGTTGGTCGAACCAATGAACCTAGTGCAGGCCTGCTTTCAACCACAAACAACTCTTCCAGACCGAAACAGTTAACACCTCATGCATGTACGCTCGCATGAAGAAACAACAAGCGCTGCAGCCCTGCAAGCGAATAAACGACAACCAATGGAGAAGTAGTGCCGTAATCCATGCAACGATAAGCCTCATTCCTACTCAGGTCACCACGCTCGCATGTCGTTACACTGTGAGAAAGTCTCGGCTTCAAAACCTGTGATACCTCCCGACCCTGGCAACTGCCAACCACGGCTAGGACTATGAGGACTCTCGATCATCTGGCCCGGGTGTGTGCACCGACTCCCCGAGGTCGCATCCGCGGAGTCCATCGAAGGTGCTTTGCTTTGACAGCCCTGCTACAGACGATTTTGCCGGAGTTGCATGTCGCTTGCTTCGCGGCTGGCAAGAAACGAGGGTCTCCACAGCTGCCTCCAGTTATACTCTCATCTCATCTTTGAGTTTGGAATTTAGGGTCCTGGGTATAGTTTTCAGTGTTCAGTGACGATCAGCAACGACCCGAAGATTTGGGTGAAGAACTGAATGTTTTTATGCGACGCCCTGCCATATCTCAGGATGGCCCACCGAAGAATGTTTCTGTCTCTTGCCTTCCGCTCGATGAACAGGCGAGCCAACCCCACCTTTGCTTGCAAAGGCATGCCATGCTGACGGACACTGTGTGTGCGTGTGCATGGAACCTCCTCGATATACACCAGAGCTACGAAAGAGGAAAGAACATCCTAAGCGCTCCAATTCCATCCTGACAGACAGGAGCTGAGTGGCTCACTTTGTTTTGATAGTACAGGTAAGTCCCAGGTGGCGGGTACAACACACCGCCTGGCAGCCACAGGGCGTTCTGGCTCTCAGAAAAGCTACCAGTAGAAGCCAAGAGTCTGAGGATGCCAGCCTCGTCGTTCGAACTCCTCGTACCACTCCACGATTTGGTATGGCAGCCTCCCATAGAGATTCGTCTTACATTTCATGATGCATTTGACAACGCCAAACAGAGGCTTTCTGTCTACTTGCGAATCTCGGTGCCAAGCCCGCATGCACACGCATCCCGTATATTCCGAAAAAAACACAGTTCCTGTTCCCTGTCCGGCTCTGCCAAGAGCTCTGAAGTCAGAGTCCGAGCAACAGACTTGGTGGGCAAGTGAAGCACCTCTTCTCGTAGAGCTCACCATCTTTCAACGGGAGCTCGAACTCATGATTGCCACCGACTCGCCAGACGTACCTCTTAGAGTACCAAGTCTGCTCAAGTCATGCAGCTCCTTCACATGCGACTGGCCCTCGGCTCTGAGCACAACCAAGGATGTCCACCACATTCCACCACCGCGCTCCCGTGTTTTCTAAGCACTCAGTCTCTTATCCACACCTCGTGTTCGGGATCGTGTCCTCGGCAGCATCGATGAGGTGTGGCCTGCAGCCACAACGAGCATCCAATGAAACCAAAAAAAACATGAAACACTTTGGCCTCGCGACACCAGCTGTGGGAAAAGTTTGTAAGAACAGCTCTCGGAAGACCTCCTGAATGCACAGCTGGAACACAAGGCGAGACGATTGAAGCTGTCTGGGTGCGGATCACCCTTGGTGCGTTTGCAGACAGACGTCCTGGTGCACCACGTGCTTCCCTCGGTTGAACCTCGCAAGCTTGCGGATGAACTGAGCTGAGGCATAAGCCGGGACAGCAGTCTGTCACACACAGACCCACACAGCAAATGCAAGAACCCGACTCTATCCACCCAAAAGGTGGCACCATGGGGAAGACCACTGCAACCTGCCCCCAAGCTGCTGAATATGTTCGAAGCTCTTCTTACTGCGAATGCGGTGCACTGCCAACCCAAGACCGAGCAGTGGGCCATTGCACGAACCTTCTTGAGAGGCACGTTCTTCGGCCTGGGGTTGCAACTTCCACGCTGGCAATCTCTGTGTAGCCATGGGCTCTGGCTGACTCTCGACTAGCAGGGTGCCCGCTTCGCACCACTCGCACCCGAGATCTGCTCGGAGGTACAGTTGGTATTGCTGTACTCTGCGCCTAGACCATTGCCAAGCCCAAACCCTAGTGGTGTGAACTTGCTGGATCTGCTTCAGGTCCTTGCAACAAGCAAAAGCCTTAGGTCTGCAGCGTTGAGAAGCGAAGCATCGACTTGCACCAGGGTCCCGAAGTGATCGTGTGACCTGAAGCATGAGACCCTTCCGCAGCTCATTTCCATCATCCGGATAGATGTCAACGTTTTGTCGCGCAGCAGATGAAGGAAAGGACGACGGCAATCACAGCTTAAGAATGGGGGGACGATGGTGATGCGTGTCTTACTTTTGTTGATGTGTTGCTCTCATTTTCCTCATGCCTTTTTCTGTCTTCATGCCTTGGCCTCTCAGAAAGGAGATGACAAGTAAGAAACAAAACACACGCTTCTGATGGAAAAGCTAAGCCGGAGACGCCAGTGGCTGAAAGCCCCGTCCCCTTTTTCGGCTATGTCTGCGTGGTTGCTGTGGGCAGGTCCTCAGAGGCAGCAGAACGCCAAGTCAAGGCAGTCGCAAATTTCTTGAATGGTGCCGAGACCGAAGCCCATGGGATGGAACTGTTGCTTGTCATCTACGTGAAAAAGCTGAAGCCTCAACCAAACATGGAGTGGACGGGACACCCCTTGCAGCGACATCATGGCAGCACAAGAAAGGTGAGCCCCGCTTCACCATCTCAGGGTTCTGCGTGGATCTTGTCGATCGCCAGCTCCCAGACTCGTCCTTGTCAACTCGAAGCCGTGTTCAGTGTCACCCCTGCAAAGCTGCAAAACGGATTTTCTTTTGTGCATCTTAGACGGAACTCTTCGGGGGAGCGCATATACAGCTCAAGCATGCCACGCGCAGTACGCCAAATGCGACTGCACGTACAATTGGTGTTGGCTTGCCAGTTGCGTTTGGGGTTCGCAGTCTGTCATTGGCTTTCGAGTTCTGACATTGCGAACTTCTGACCCAGTGGCTTGATGGCCTGGTGGTGGCGGTGGCTCTCTCTGCCAGAACTGTCGAGAATTGAATGTGTTCACTTTCGCCAATTACATCAGTGCATATACACACATGCACATGTATGTGTCAAAACACAAGCAAGGAGACATAACAGACTGCGGCGTACATCTGAATACCTACCTAGGGGTTGTACAACGGCCTCGATAAATGAAAACACATGTACGTACCTGCACGAATACCAACATGCATAAGTACATACATACAAGGTCATATACAAATATGTGAAGCCACATATGTACACATGTATACAGAAGTAAAATGAGCCTTTGAGTTGTAAACATGACCTAGGGATTTCCACTAATTACCAGTATCCCCGTAGCAGAGCCCGAAACATAAACTCTCCTTTTTCCTAACAGTGCTAGATGCACACACCAAAACAATATAAACCTTACGTTACCTCATGAATGTAGGCTGCATGTACACGTACGTACAGAAAACATAGTTTGGCTCATGCGTGTGTGAAGAGATACAGCACCTCCAGACAGGCACACATGCTCGCAAACATATGGGCATAGGACTGCAGATGCAGCAAAACAAAACAACTTGTATACATACGGAGGCATGCACGAATGCATTGAAACACACAGACAGACAAGCAAACATACAGGCAGAGGCACATGCATGCACAGACATATATGTACACATATAAGTGTATATATATATATATGTATATATACACACTGTAATCATATTCGGGAGATTTACATGCACATGCCGTACAAAACTTGCATCTGAAGATTTTCCCTGTAAACACAGCCACATGTACGTAAGCATGTATGTCGACGTGGCTACCGATGTATGTATGTACGTATGCATGCACGCATGCATGCATGTGTGTATCTACATAGGTATGTGTTTATGTACGCATGCATGCATGCACGGTATCCAATATAAAATGCTATAGCGTAGAGCCTAGCAAAAAAAACACAAGCACCTCGACTCCATTTCCATGGCTTACGATGAGAATCCGGACAATCGTCAAATCGGCTCGTTCTCCAAATATTGGGGGCCCATATGGGGTTATCGCCTTGCAGGTTCGGCGTGTGAAACCGATGTACAAAGCCAGTGGTTCCTGGTATCACCCTCAAAATGCACGGGCCTGGACTAAACTCCAAAGCTCAGGACCTAAGCCGTTCCACAGGGGCGGAAGGCGATCATCAGACGCAGAAAAAGGCCAAAGCCGAACCACCCAACCGTTCCACTCCGTGCCACAGAAATGGGGAAGACTAAATGGTGTGATACTATTGGGGGAGGTCCCGGCGGGGCGCAAACATATGTAGGTAAGTGCAGAGACGTTGCTGACGAGGAGTGTAAATAATGCGTTGTATGTATAATCAAATTAAATATTGAATATGCAGTCAAGGCACGCGGGTTTATCTGCCTGCTGGCCTGCTATACCTTCATGCCCGTCTGCATTGCTAGGCTGCGAGCTGCTACAATGTAGCGAGGGAAAGGCATCTCGTAAGCGAAACCGGTCGCTTTCTTGGCCTGGCACAGAAAACGAGAAGCGGACAAAAATCCACGGGACGAGCTTAAGCTGTCCAACGGCACATGCAGACGCAGGAGGACGCTTCTCCGATGCTCCCGCTTGGCACAAGCAGGTTTTATCTAAACCCGGCCTCAAGAAGGTTGAGGTGGAACACGAGCGCCTCGACACTTGCCGGTCACACTTGTATCTCTTCCGCATTGTGAGTCAGTATCAGTAAGACGGAGACATCGCCGCGCTTCTCGCAGCTCTTAACTGAGCTGGCCTCGGAGGCTGAATGCAGTTTCTCGCCGCCTCGCTTCGCCACTTGTTGATGGAAGGTGTCTTCACGGAAGCTCAGTGTTGCGGGGATAGTGGAGGGACTCTGGGACGCGTTGCCGGCTTTGACCGGATCGTCTCCAAGTCTCTTTCGGGCACCTGCCATCGACACCGAAGCGAGAGATTTCACAGCTCGACTTGTCACGTTCACATCGGGCGTGCCTGCCGCCAGTTGCTTTTTGCACCCGATGGCATGATGCACTCAGCAGCGAGTATTCGATACCTCAGGATGCTTCAAGATTCAATATGCACATGTCCAGCGTCTAGATTTTAGACTCAGAATTGCAAGCAACCATTGTTTGGTCACAAACAGTTAAAAATGAAAAAAATCAACCGCACGCCGCCACAGTGATTTTCCAGTGATTTCATGTGCCATGGGTTCAAGCGTTCAGACATTGGTTCAGGGACTCTCTGTGGTTCAATGATCGGGTTCACAGCCATCCGGCCCGGCTGCAATTATTCAGCGACTTTCTGTTATTTTGCAGGCGGCCCAAGCCAAGCCCAACCCAGCCCAGCACAGGGGACTAGAACCGCTGACAGATTTCTGCCACTTGCCACACTTAGCAGTAGTAGTAGTAGTAGTAGTAGCAGCAGCAGCAGTAATTTCCACAAAACATCGCCAAACCTTGTGCGTGGAAAAACGGGCCCGGCTCAGTTTTTCGCGCCGAAACAAATGCTTCGATGTTGGACAGCTTAAATTACATACACTACAAGATACGATTCCCGCAAATACTCGCCGCCAGAGCAAACCATACTGTAGCGGCAACAGTATGTTATAGCAATAGTAAGAACAACAAGAATAGCAGCAGAAATAGTAATAGGAGTGGCAAGAGTACTAGCATATAGGAGATAAGAGTAAAAATAATAATAACAGTAGTAGTAGCAGTAATAGTCGTACCGATAATAATAACAAGTAATTGCAACTGTAGCCGTATTAGTACATCGTCGTAGTAGTAGTAGTAGTAGTAGTAGTAGTAGTAGTAGTAGTAGTAGTAGTAGTAGCGGTAATCACAGCATTAACAATACTGGTACTGGTTACAGTACGAGTGAGAGTGTTAGTAGCCTTCCGCAACTGAAACCATTGTGGTAATAGTAAGCGCAACAGAAATGATAGTAATGTAGTAGTAACCCATGAAAAGCAATAGTCATAGTCAAGATCAGACGCAAGCTTGGTAAGGATCCAGCGGAGATCGCTCACGAAGTGTGGCAGGCTTGTTCCTGCAGCACACAGGTTCGGGCCGGCAAGGTGTACAGCTACGGATAACTTGCGGCAAGGCCTCTTCCTTGCCTCGCCAAGTGTGACCTGCTCGCACTCTGGAAAGCACATCCGACGCATGAGGCAGATGAGGTCTCAGAGTCGTCCGGCCCGTCACTGAAGGCACATCTACACTGATCCTCGCCAACTTCGCAGATCAGCTGCGAGTCCCCGCCACGCCTTCGAAGTCGGCAAAGAGCTCTTCGCGCTTTGCGCCTCGCGCAACTCTACTCCAGAGACGCACTCTTCTCTGGCGGCCCAGTCACATCCCAGCGTGCCTGGTTTGTCAAGAGATTTTGAAGGGACGGAGGGTCCTCTGCAATGCCAGATGCAAAATCAAGCTGCTCTGGACATATGCGGACTCTGTATTTATGCGCACCAGACACCCGACCATCATGCTGATCTTAACACACGTTCACCCAAAGCAAGAAAGGCTGAAGTTTAGACCAGCAGTGTCACACAGTGCGAGCAGAAGCGGTCCCGTTGACCTCGGACTGATTCTGCCCAAGCATCAGCATAACCGGGGTTCGACAGAGGTGCGGTATACCCGTACTGAGTGTGTATGCAGCCAACACATTGCACTGCGAGAGTACACTTGTGCACTGATGTGCACTGAAGCCGAATTTGCCACGGGGCTGGTCATGTGGTTGATGCCACGGAAGTTGTGGAAAACAATGCCTGAGCACAAATTGCCTTGAAATGGCACAGAAGTGTAGAGCCAGCCCACAGCCCGAGATCCCGACCCAGGGAGACAAGCGAAAACACGAGGGCAGCGCCCTTGAAAGAACACCTTCAGGCTTCAGTGAATTCAGGCAGTGCACTCGAGCCCCGACAAACGCAGAGGCAACGAACTACATCTGGCGGCTGCTCTTTCAACATCGGTCGCACCTCATGGATGCCGGGCAAGCAGCTTGTAGCGCCAGCAGCGCCAGCAGAGGATATTGGTAATCATTGGCACATGAGCGACCCGACTTCGGGTGTCTCCAATGCTGGAACTATCCGAACATGTCATGCCCGAGTGGAGACCGACCAGGAGCGCAGACATTCTTAGTTTGTAGGAAATTACCACAGAAGCTAACCACATGTTGTAAATGGAACCTTGGCCTGCCGTGATTGTCGCCGTCGAATTTCTCCCAGTGTTCGACGTTTACGTAGAAGCTGCAGGAATGCGACCCGAAATGGAGAGCATGGACATGTTGGAGACCCAAAGCCCATGTTCTGCTGGAAAGATGCCTGCATCCCGCTCCAGCCATGGAAGGTCCTCATCTTTTCTGGGTGCGCTGTCGCAGCGTCTTGTGACGCTAATGGGCCCGGGAATTTCTTGCATGTTCCCATGGCAGAGGCATGCCGTGGTGAAACAAACCTTGCAGTCTCGATGCCACCCTCACACGCTGGTGTCCATAGTAGGCGTTCATCTATACACATACCATACATCTAATCACATATAATGTGTGTATATATGTATGTATGTATGTATGTATGAATGTATATACATGTAGATATACAGAATAATTATACAGCTAAATGTACCGATGCATTCACATACATACATACATACATGCATGTCTACCTGCCTACCTACCTACCCAGCTACTTGTAGCTACCTACTTACCGTTACTTACCTCTACGTACGTACATACATACATGCAGATGCTTGTGTGTGTGGGGCATTCGCATATATGTCTACAAACATACAGTTGTATCCGTGTCTATTCCTGTATCTCTATCTACATGTTGAACCTGGGTCACTGAAATGCATTTCTGATCCGTATCTGGGTGGCAGCATGAGGTCTGCAGTGAAACACCTATTCTACATCAACGAAACTGCGCGACAGATGGACTAAGCTGACAGCGACGACTCAGAAGACGGCATCGCGGGTGAACACATACACTCGCGCTGTCAAGATCACCCTGCCGCCAAAAGGTGTCCTGTGCCTGCTTGTCATCACAAGGACCTCAATGGCATCTTCAAGACGAGCTGAAAGCATAAAGAACGGCACACCCTTGTGAACATAATCGACTATTCAGAGAATCAACCATGCGACCTGCCTCCAGGTCCCTTAACAGAAAGCCGGCAGAGCAGTCATCAGACAGTCCGAACAGTGGCGGTCGAGATGCCCCAGTTGCTCCCGGACTTCTGCTTCCAGTCTCTGGTAAGCTGCCTCGGCCTAGGCTTCGACCCTCAACAGCTTCGCTTCCGATCCAGACATGCAGCACATCAGCAGCAAAAACACATCCTGATCAGAGACAACAGCCCACAATGCGGCTCTAGCATTTCCACACATGGCTTTGCTGGATGCAGATGGGTCCTCCTGCACAACGAGCCCAACGACTCGGACAAACTCTTTGCTACCTGCTTCAAGACGCTTCCCGCTGCGATGTTCTGCTTGCAGCCTGGCAGCTGCATCTTCCTTGTCGTTGTCCTCCGTCTTTTCCTGTTCAGCCGCAGCTGCAAGGACATAAAAGAAGAGAAGCTACAAAATCACAAAGGCTGCGTGTCTGTACATATGAAACGGATACATACATACCAGTATAAATGCATGTGTTCATCATACACACATACATATATGCATATACACATGTTAACATATGTATATATATATATATACATATATACATATATACATATATACATATATACATATATACATATATACATATATACATATATACATATATACATATATACATATATACATATATACATATACATATGTATGTGTATATATATACATACATATTTACACATATATATATATATATATATATATTTACACATATATATATATATATATACATGTATACATATATATATACACACATATAAACATATATACATATATACATATATACATATATACATATAGACATATATACATATATACATATAGACATATAGACATATATACATATACATATATATACAAATACATATACACATATATACATATATACATATATAGATATATGGAAATATGATTACACACATGTATAAACACATATGCACATACATACATACGTACATACAACCATATATACATGTACACATATATGCAAATATGCATATGTACATAGTACATAAACACATGCATACATACATGCATCAATGCATACATACACACATACATACATGCATACACACATACATACATACATACATACATACGTACATACATACATACATACATGCATTACGCATGTACCTATGTACCTATACACGTATATGATTACATAAGCATCTACATCTACATCCACATTTACATATACAGATACATTTACAGATACATATACATATTCATATTCTTAAACCTTTACACCAACATACATGTATACAAACATACATATGTATGTATATATATATACGTAGGAAAAGTGCGGTGGGAGTTCTGACCATATCATATGCCGCTTCTCAATATCTCGGTGTAGATCTCGGTTCAAGGGCCAGTAGGCTGATACCCCTCCCATGAACCCGAGACCTTCATGCCCAGACTTCAAGCCCTAAATTCCGAGCCACAAAAATACCAAATCAGTCACCCCCAAACCCGAAAACCATATCCATTCCGGCATTGTGCCGAAAACCTGTCAAATCCATTCCGGCAAGGTACCGACGACGAGCTGAATGGGGGCAACGGGGTACACCTAAACAAAAAGGACCCCTGCCCTTACGTGCACAGAAACGGGTGAACTCTAATCCTTGAAACATGTGCAAGCAAGACACATCAAAGGCAAATAAGACCCCTAAACGCCAACCCTTTCAAAAGCTGGCTTTCTCATGTCTACGCATATGCATGCGAGCATGTATATGTGCATGCATATGCATGCGCGTGCCCATGTATATTGTATGCATATGTAGTTGTATGTGTACGTACGCATGCATGTACTATGTACATGTATGTGTATGTATGCAGTGATGGCATGTTTCAGAAACCGTGCTCAATGCATGAAACGTCGCTTTCAGAAAATATGGAACGGCGTTTTCAGAAATGACAACAGCGTTTGTCAGAGACAGACGTGAGATTTTCAGACATGTGAAACGCCGAAATTCGTCAGCACGGGCCTCAAACCCTAAACTGCATGCGGCCCTGAACCCTAAACCCCACGGACCCTAAACTCAAACCCTAAACCACAAGGCTTTAGTACCAAGCCTGGAAATGCACAAGGCCATAAACCCTAAGCGCTAAACCCTAAACTTGCCCTAAACCCCATGGATTTACCCCGAGCCTGGAAACGCATGTGTACGTCTTCTCCCATGCAAACAACCCTAAATATCTTCTGAAAAGCATATTTCTGAAGAATCTGTGCTACGTTCCTGAAGAATCTGAGCTATGTTTCTCAAAAAACTGTTTCATATATTTGAACCATGGGCTGTAAAATTCACGCACGGTTTCTGAAAAAAACACGCTCGTACATGCGTGTGTATGTGAATAAATAACATGTATAATTATGTGTATATGTATATATACATATATATATATATATATATACGTATACACGCATGCATCTAGATGCGAACGTATGCGTGTATGTATGTATGTATGAATGCATGTATGTACGTGCGGAGATAAGTCTATGCAAAGATAGATAGGTAGACAGGTAGGTAGGTCGATAGGTGGACACACGGATAGATGCAGCATGTATACTGAACAGAAAACACACACAAACAAACACACACAGTGGATATATATATATATATACGTATGTATACACAATACACATACATCATGAGCGTCGACATACACATACCTGTACCTATCTAACCTATTAATATATACATACTGCAGGTGTGTTACATAAACGTGAATATGTGTGTGTGTACATGCGATATGACATGATGCGATGCATGTGTGACGGCGTATATGTCTTGCAATGTGTGTGAGTGCATCTGTTTGCCTTCATAGAGCGAGCACGACAAGTACAGAGGCACAGAGAGAGAGAGAGAGAGAGAGAGAGAGAGAGAAAAAAAGAGAGAGAGAGAGAGAGAGCGAGAGATGTACAGCTCGCTAGACAGCTACGACGTGGAAACAGAAAGGCAGAGGTCTGGACTACTTTCCAGGACTTTGTTGATGGAGCGGATGCCAGATGTTCGGGGTATGTCGACGTCCGATCCCCAACAGCCAGACTACATGACAAAATCATGCGATGAACAGAACCATCGCCCGGTGACAAGCCTTCTCCTTCTCGCCGGCACCATCGGCTGCCATCTGGGCCTGCCCGGAAGGCAAGCCACGCCACAGATGGCACTGTGTGTGATATCTATCGCAGCACCTGCTTCTCCATGAGGTCCTTCAGGTCTCTCAGCTCCTGCTGACGCTCCTGCTGGACAGTATAGGAACCACACCGCCTCACTGAGATCAAAGACTCGAAGCGTCGGCCTGGAAGTATCTAACACCTCAGAAACAGCCGCGACGTGACAGGCATCTCATGTTATCGTCACAGCTTTGCCAACAAGCTGCTCACTATGCACTGCAACGAAAGCTGTTGGCAGACCGAGTGTCTTCTATCAAGCACTGGGCCCCTGGCGCTTCTCCTCTCTGTCGAGGAAGCGCCTCCATCAGCACGGCAACTTGTCGAGCCGACTTCGTGAACGATCCGGGCAGTAGCAGCATTGCCAAGGTACCAATGCTGACAACATATAAGTATGAGTAGCCACGAGGCCGCTACTGTAAGCAAACCCACAAGTCCCGGTAGGCTCCATTGACCCCTAAGCCGGGCTTTGATGGGTGAGTAGCGCATCGGTCATTCCACCCAGGCGCCTCATGTTTTCCTTCTCTCGGCCACCAGGCTTTATCAAGTTCCTGAGAGAAGCACACACTTGGGCAACACGGGGACATCCAATTCCGGAAAAAAAAGAGCCGGAAAACAGTATTCCCGATGCCGATGGAAGTATGCCACA